GAATTCCACTTCCCTTCGGCCCCTGCCTGGTCCCTGGGACTGGAGCAGACACAGAGTAGGTCTGCTCCTGTCCTGTGGAGAAACTGAATCCTGAGTCATCGAGAAGTCACTACACTCAGAGCAGCTGAAACTGAATTCTGAGTCATCAGGGACCCACTGCACTCAGAGCAGCTGGAGCCACTGCACTCAGAGCAGCTGACACAGAGTTGGTCTGCTCCTGTTCTGTGGAGAAACTGAATCCTGAGTCATCTAGGAGCCACTGCACTCAGAGCAGCTGAAACTGAATCCTGAGTCATCGAGAACCCACTGCACTCAGAGCAGCCGAGGAGCCACTGCACTCAGAACAGAAGGATTACCAGATCCAAGAGGTGGCCTGAGTCCCAGGAGTTCTTCCACCCGGGAGATTAGGGGCATAAGACCACAGAGACCTCTGGACTCCGAGGAGCTCTGCAATAAGCAAGATAACTGGAAATACAGATTCCAATCTTACACAGAGAGGGCAGGTACCACTAGAGTTACCCAGATGGCGAAAGGCAAACGCAAGAACATAAGCAACAGAAACCAAAGTTTCTTGGCATCATCAGTGCCCAGTTCTCCCAATATAGCAAGCCCTGAACACCCCTTCACACCTGAAAAGCAGGATTCAGAATTAAAATCACTTCTCATGATGATGATAGAGGATTATAAGAAGGAATTAAGTAACTCCCTTAAAGAAATACAGGAGAGTACAAGTAAACAGATAGAAGCCCTTAAAGAGGAATCACAGAAATCCCTTAAAGAAATGGAAGAAAACACAAAGAAGGAATTAAACAAAAACATTCAGGATCTGAAACTGGAAATAGAAACAATAAAGAAAGTTCAAAGGGAGACAACCATGGAGATAGAAAACCTAAGAAAGAGATCAGGAGTCACAGACGCAAGCATCACCAACCGAATACAAGAGATAGAAGAGAGAATCTCAAATGCAGAAGATACGGTGGAAAATATTGACACAGTTGTCAAAGAAAATGAAAAAAGCAAAAAACTCCTAACTCAAAACATCCAGGAAATTCAGGACACAATGAGAAGACCAAACCTAAGGATAATAGGTATAGATGAGAATGAAGATTCCCAACTTAAAGGGCCAGTAAATATCTTCAACAAAATCATTGAGGAAAATTTCCCTAACCTAAAGAACAAGATGCCCATAAACATACAAGAAGCCTACAGAACACCAAATAGACTAGACCAGAAAAGAAATACCTCCCGTCACATAATAATCAAAACATCAGATGCACAAAACAAAGAAAAAATACTAAAAGCAGTAAGGGAAAAAGGTCAAGTAACATATAAAGGCAGACCTATAAGAATTACACCAGACTTCTCACCAGAGACTATAAAAGCCAGAAGAGCCTGGACGGACATCATACAGACCCTAAGAGAACACAATTGCCAGCCCAGATTACTATACCCAGCAAAACTCTCAATCAATATAGATGGTGAAACCAAGATATTCCATGACAAAACCAAATTTGCACAATATCTTAACACAAACCCAGCACTTCAAAGGATAATGGATGGAAAACGCCAACACAAGGAGGGAAACTACAATCTAGAAAAAGCAAGGAAGTAATCTTCCAACAACCCCAAAAGAAGATAACTATACAAACATAACTTTACCTCTAATAACAAAAATAACAGGAAGCCACAATCATTTTTCCTTAATATCTCTTAACATCAATGGTCTCAATTCCCCAATAAAAAGACGCAGACTAGCAGACTGGATACACAAACAAGACCCAGAATTTTGCTGCATACAAGAAACACACCTCAGTGACAAAGACAGACACTACCTCAGAATAAAAGGGTGGAAAACAATTTTCCAAGCCAATGGTCCCAAGAAACAAGCTGGAGTAGCCATTCTAATATCAAATAAAATCGACTTCCATCCAAAATTAATCAAAAAAGATAAGGAAGGACACTTCATACTCATCAAAGGAAAAAGCTACCAAGGTGAACTCTCAATTCTGAACATCTATGCCCCAAATGCAAGGGCACCTACATACATAAAAGAAACTTTACTAAAGCTCAAAACACACATTACACCTCACACAATAATAGTGGGGGATTTCAACACCCCACTCTCAGCAATGGACAGATCATGGAAACAGAAACTAAACCGAGACACTTTGACATTAACAGAAGTTATGAACCGAATGGACTTAACAGACATCTATAGAACATTTCATCCTAAAACAAAAGAATATACCTTTTTCTCAGCACCTCATGGTACCTTCTCCAAAATAGACCATATAATTGGTCACAAAACAAGCCTCTACAGATACAAAAAGATTGAAATAATCCCTTGCCTCTTATCAGATCACCATGGAATAAGACTGGTCTTTAATAATGACAAAACCAATGGAAAACCCATGTGCACATGGAAACTGAACAACTCTCTACTCAATGATGACTTGGTCAAGGAAGAAATAAAGAAAGAAATTAAAGACTTTTTAGATTTCAATGAAAATGAGGACACATCATACCAAAACTTGTGGGACTCCATGAAGGTAGTGCTAAGAGGAAAACTCATAGCTCTAAGTGCCTACAAAAAGAAACTGGAAAGAGCACACACTAACAAGTTGACTGCACAACTAAAAGCCCTAGAACAAAAAGAAGCAAATACACCCAGGAGGAGTAGAAGGCAGGAAATAATCAAACTCAGGGCTGAAATCAACCAAATAGAAACTGAAAGAACAATACAAAATATCAATAAAACCAGGAGTTGGTTCTTTGAGAAAATCAACAAGATAGATAAACCGTTAGCCAGATTAACCAGAGGGCACAGAGAGAGTATCCAAATTAATAAAATCAGAACTGAAAAGGGAGACATAACAACAGAAACGGAAGAAATTAAAAAAATCATCAGATCCTACTACAAAGGTCTATACTCAACAAAACTGGAAAACCTGGATGAAATGGACAATTTCCTAGACAGATACCAGGTACCAAAATTAAACCAGGAGCAGATAAACCATCTAAATAGTCCCATAACCCCTCAGGAAATAGCAGCAGTCATTAAAAGTCTCCCCACTAAAAAAACCCCAGGACCAGATGGTTTTAGTGCTGAATTCTATCAGACCTTCAAGGAAGACCTAATACCAATTCTCTTCAAACTATTCCACAAAATAGAGACAGAAGGAACACTACCCAATTCGTTCTATGAAGCTACAATTACACTCATTCCCAAACCCCACAAGGACCCAACAAAGAAAGAGAACTTCAGACCAATCTCCCTTATGAACATCGATGCAAAAATACTCAATAAAATTCTAGCAAACCGAATCCAAGACCACATCAAAACAATCATCCATCATGATCAAGTAGGTTTTATCCCAGGAATGCAGGGATGGTTCAATATTCGGAAATCCATCAATGTAATCCACTATATAAACAAACTTAAAGAAAAAAACCATATGATTATCTCACTAGATGCTGAGAAAGCATTTGACAAAATTCAACATCCCTTCATGATAAAAGTCTTGGAAAGATCAGGAATTCAAGGCCCCTACCTAAACATAGTAAAAGCAATTTACAGTAAACCAGTAGCCAACATCAAGCTAAATGGAGAGAAACTTGAAGCAATCCCACTAAGATCAGGGACTAGACAAGGCTGCCCACTCTCCCCCTACCTATTCAATATAGTACTGGAAGTCTTAGCCAGAGCAATTAGACAACAAAAAGAAGTCAAAGGGATACAAATAGGAAAGGAAGAAGTCAAAATATCGCTATTTGCAGATGATATGATAGTATACTTAAGTGACCCCCAAACTTCCACCAGAGAACTCCTAAACCTGATAAACAACTTCAGCAAAGTGGCTGGTTATAAAATCAACTCAAACAAATCAGTAGCCTTCCTCTACATGAAAGATAAACAGACTGAAAAAGAAATTAGGGAAATGACACCCTTCACAATAGTTGCAAATAATATAAAATACCTTGGTGTGAATCTAACCAAGCAAGTGAAAGACCTGTATGACAAGAACTTCAAGTCTCTGAAGAAAGAAATTGAAGAAGATCTCAGAAGATGGAAAGATCTCCCATGCTCATGGATTGGCAGGATTAATATAATAAAAATGGCCATCTTGCCAAAAGCAATCTACAGATTCAATGCAATCCCCATTAAAATCCCAACTCAATTCTTCACAGAGTTAGAAAAGGAAATTCTCAAATTCATATGGAATAACAAAAAACCTAGGATAGCGAAAACTATTCTCAACAATAAAAGAACTTCGGGAGGAATCACCATCCCTGACCTCAAGCTGTACTACAGAGCAATAGTGATAAAAACTACCTGGTATTGGTACAGAGACAGGCAGGAAGATCAATGGAATAGAATTGAAGACCCAGAAATGAACCCACACTCCTATGGTCACTTGATCTTTGACAAAGGAGCTAAAACTGTCCAGTGGAAAAAGGACAGCATTTTCAACAAATGGTGCTGGTTCAACTGGAGGACAACATGTAGAAGAATGAAAATTGATCCATTCTTATCCCCTTGTACAAAGCTCAAATCTAAGTGGATAAAGGACCTCCACATAAAACCAGATACACTGAAACTAATAGAAGAGAAGGTGGGGAAAAGCCTCGAATACTTGGGCACAGGGGAAAAGTTCCTGAACAGAACTCCAATGGCATATGCTCTAAGATCGAGAATTGACAAATGGGACTTCATAAAATTGCAAAGTTTCTGTAAGGCAAAGGACACTGTCAATAGGACAAAACGACAACCAACAAATTGGGAAAAGATCTTTACCAATCCTTCATCTGATAGAGGGCTAATATCCAATATATACAAAGAACTCAAGAAATTAGACTCCAGGCAACCAAATTACCCTATTAAAAAATGGGGTATAGAGCTTAACAAAGAATTTTCAACAGAAGAAACTCGAATGGCCGAGAAGCACCTAAAGAAATGCTCGGCATCCTTAGTCGTCAGGGAAATGCAAATCAAAACAACCCTGAGATTCCATCTCACACCAGTCAGAATGGCTAAGATTAAAAACTCAGGTGATAGTAGATGCTGGCGAGGGTGTGGAGAAAGAGGAACACTCCTCCATTGTTGGTGGGACTGCAAGATGGTGCAACCACTTTGGAAATCAGTGTGGCGGTTCCTCAGAAAATTGGACATAGCATTACCCGAGGATCCAGCTATACCACTCCTAGGCATATACCCAGAAGGTGCTCGAACATATAACAAGGACATATGCTCAACTATGTTCATAGCAGCCTTATTTATAATAGCCAGGAGCTGGAAAGAACCCAGATGTCCTTCAACTGAGGAATGGATTAAAAAAATGTGGTATATTTACACAATGGAGTATTACTCAGCTATTAAAAACAATGAATTTGAGAGGTTCCTAGGTAAATGGATGGAACTAGAAATTATCATACTGAGTGAGGTAAGCCAATCACAAAAGAACACACATGGTATTCACTCACTGAGTATTGGATATTAGCCCAGAACCTTAAAATGCCCAAGATGCAACTCACAGGCCACATGAAGTCCATAAAGAAGGAAGACCAAGTGGGGGTGATTCGGTCCTTCTTAGAAGGAGCAACAAAATACTCAAGGGAGCAAATATGGAGACAAAGCGAGGGACAAAAACTGAAGGAGGGGCCGTCTGAAGACCTTTCCACCTGAGTATCCATCCCATGTGCAGTCACCAAAGGTAGATGCTGATGTGGAAGTCAGGAAGTGCATGCTGATAAGAGCCTGATATGGATGTCTCCTCAGAGGTCTTCAAGAGTCTGACATATTCAGAGGCAGATGCTCACAACTAGCCATTGAAGTGATTATGGGGTTCTCAATGGAGGAGTTAGAGTGAAGACTGAAGGAGCTGAAAGGATTTGTGGCCCCATGAGGAGAGCAACAATACCAACCAACCACAGCTCCCAGGGTCTAAACCACCAGCCTGGGAGCACTTATGGAGGGATCCAGGGCCTTAGCTGAATATATAAGAGTGGAGGGCCCTGCTGGGCACAGGTGGAAGATGAGATCCTTGACCTCATGAAGGCTGGACGCCCCAGGGGGTGGGAGTTTTGAGGGTGGGGAGGTGGGAGTGGGGGGGTAGATAGAGGTTACATCCACAAAGAAGAAGGAGGAGGTGTGAGGGGATTGGGGGTTCCTGGGTGGGTGGGGGATGGGGTAAGGGGACAACATATGAAATGTAAATAAAACATCCAATAAAAAAATTAAAAAAAGAAAAAAAAAAGTAAAAAAAAAAAAAAGAAATACTCAGACTCGGGTCATTCATTGTGAGAGAATGCCAATGCCTTTACTGAGCAGGTTCAATATATACACCAAGCCAGGGAAGGAAAATACAAACTCAGGAAAAAACAGGAACTCAACTTGGGGGGCAATAGGATGTCAAGTGTAAATTCCCTTCCTGGGGCACCATGCCTTAGTCAGGATGTTTTGATCCTAGAGGAACTGCAGAATGTTACTTAGTAGACAGCCGCATACGGAAAGGCTCAGCCAGGGCATAGCAGCCCTTTGGGGTCCTACAAGTAAGCACAGACTCAGTTGTTACTCTTCATTTGTTTTGCAGCAGCCAACTGGTGGAGAAATTCTGTGACTATAATGAAAGTCATCAGTATGCAGAAATCTTCAGCTGCAATCCAGGGCAGTCTGCGAGCCGGAAGTCTTGTCCAGGACTTGCTACATTTGAAAAGAATGTCCGTGTAGAAGGTTGAATTGGCCACTCATCTCCGGGTGTGCTCCTGAACCATCAGGTAGGACCTTGTGAAGACCAGGAACATGGACAGACGTTGTATAAACACAGGGAGTTTGGGAGAAGCTCCAGTTCTCCTTCACCCCTTCAGATGCATAAAAGCACTCACACTGGAGAGAAGCCTTCTAAAGATAAGGACTATAAAGAAGACCTTCCCTGTGTCAGATCTGGCCAGATGTATGAACAAAATGACTTTTCAAAGAAGTCTTATGTGCACAAGCCATGTGGGAAAGACTTCACGCATCTCAGTCCTTTACCAAGGCATGAGAAGAGTCACAGTGTTAAGAAGCCCTACGTGTGTGAACTGTGTGGGAAAGGCTTTGCTCGGTTTGGTAACCTTTCAAGGCATAAGATGACTCCAACTTGTGAGAAGACTTTTCTCTGTAATCATTGTGGGAAAGTTTTCTCTGATTCCTCTTGCCTTCGAAGACACACAAGAGTTCACACTGGAGAGAAACCCTATGTATGTAAGCAATGTGGGAAAGCCTTCATTACTTCTAGTAACTTTCAAATACATGAACGAACTCACACTGGGGAAAAACCGTATGTATGTAAAGAGTGTGGGAACACCTTCAGGCTTTTGATTCAACTGCAAAAGCATGAAGTAATTCATAGTGGTGTGAATCCCTACGTTTGTAAGCAATGCAGGAAAAGCTTTACTTCCTCCAGTTCCCTAAAAACACACAAAAGAATTCACACTGGTGAGAAGCCCTATATGTGTGAATACTGTGGGAAGACCTTTGGGTATTCCAGTACCCTTAAAAAACATGAAAGAATCCATACTCGAGAAAGGCCCTATGTTTGCAAGCAATGTGGGGAAGCCTTTCGTTATTCTTTATATTTTCAAAGACATGAACAAACCCACAGAAGAGAGAGATCCTAAGAATGTAAGCAATATGGGAAAGCGTTTCTTTATGCTTTTCATGTTGAAATACATGAAGGAATCCACAGCAGAAAGAGATCTTACAGATGTAAGCCATGTGGGAGTGGCTTCTTGACATACCATTTGCGAAGACATGCACTAATTCATTGGAGAACAAATGAAGATGTTTGTAAGTAACTTGAGACAGTCTTCTCTTGGTTAACTCTCAGAAATAAAACAACATGAGAGTGACGTTTTATGCTTAAAATGTGGGAAAATAACACATTGAAAGAAGCTATTCTTTTGAATCCATGTAGCTCCTAGTAATAGAAATTCCCTTCTAATACATATAAGCAGACACACTCGAGAAAAGGCTTTGGAAAAAAGCTGCAAGCCACGTGATAAAGTCTTCAGAGCTCTTTTCATTGTGGAGAAGATGTGAAATAGCTCACACTGGAGAGAAACCTTATGCACACACTATGGAAAAGCCTTTAGTCCTCTCGGGGCCCTCAAAAGACATTAAAATTAATGTTTCAGAGAGCAATAATTCATATACAGGAAATCTTCCAAATTTTCAATTACCCCAGGTTGTTTTTTTTTTTTTTTGCACACATGAATGTACTCATTGTAGGGTAATTCTAAAATATAGAGTTTGTGAAGCCTCTATCATCGCTTTCTTAGTACTTAAAAGAATGAATCATGAGGACTTGTCCTTGGAAAACAAGTGTAAACTTTTCTTGGTTCAACTCAAAAATTAAGAAATAAGGTTTGGGAAACAACTTTGATTAAAAGTTGGGTTCAGTTGCACACATGTGCAAACATTCCAGATTGAAGGATTTTCTGGTATAAAAATAACAAAAAACAGGATCATATCAAGTGTGGGAGACTCCAAATACTGGAGAAGTTCCTTTAAAATTCCTCAGGTTCTGAAGTGGCCATCTCCTAGAGGCAGGCAAGACCCTCAGTGGAGGAAAAAGGACACCAACACACCCACAAAACTTTCAACCCAAAATTTGTTCAACCTATAAGAAATGCAGGGACAAAGATGGAGTAGAGACAAATGGAATAGCAAACCAAAAACTGGGCAAACTTGAGACCTATCTCATGGGCAAGCACCAATCCCTCACACTACTAATAATACTGTTATGCTTGCAGAAAGGAGCCTAGCATAGTTGTCCTCCACCCAGCAGCTGACTGAAAGAGATGCAGAGATCCATTGCCAAACATTAGATAGCGCTCAAGGAGTCTTTTGGAAGAGTTGAGTGAGCTGGAAGTGTCACAGACCCCACAGGAACACCAACAGTCAATTACCAGGACCTTTTGGGGGCTCCCAGAGACTGAACCACCAACCAAAGAGTATACATGGGCCAGACCTAAAGCTCCCCACACATATGTAGCAGATGTGCCTCTAGGTGTTCATGTGGGTTCACCCACAACTAGAGTGGGACCTGTCCCTAAAACTGTTTGTTGCCTGTCTGTGGATCACGTTCTCCTAACTGAGCTGCCTTATTTGGCCTCATTGAGAGAGGATGTGCCTAGCTTTGCACAGGCTTGATGTGTCATGAGGTGGGATACCCAGGGGGGCCTCCACCCTCTCAAAGGAGAGGAGGAGGAGGAACTGTGAGGGTGACTTAGATAGGGTTTTAAAGCTGTGAACAGACACCATGACTAAGGTAAGTCTTATAAAGGACAACATGTATTTGTGGCTGGCTTACAGGTTCAGAGGTTCAGTCTGTTATCATCAAGGTGGGAGCATGGTGCAGGAGGAGCTGAGAGTTCTACATCTTCATCTGAAGGCTGCTAGTGGAAGACTGACTTCCAGGCAGCTAGGAAGAGGGTCTTAAGCCACAGTGACAAACCTACTCCAGCAAGGCCACACCTCCTAATAGTGCCACTCTCTGGGCCAAGCATATACAAACCTTCACAGAGGGGACCTGAAGGAATCCAGCAGTGATAGGGATGTAATGTGAATGAATGAATGAATGAATGAGGGTGTAAATTCCTCAGGTTCATTCTGATAAATGCCAGCAACATGAAGGACTGAACACTGTTTTGCTGGTGTTTGTTTGACTGTTTTGTATTATCCAGAAAATGCATATTATGAGTGAAAGGTCATATTTGTTATTACAAATTGACCTGTAATCAGTAACTTTAGCTTTCTTGGTGAATCCATGTAATGAATCTGCCTCCACATCCAGCATCAGTAAATTACTTTTTAAGGTCCATCTCTGGTGTCCAGATTTCTAATTTTTACTGAAGAAAGTTAGCACTGATCCAAGTAGGTGTTGTGGAAAGACTGCTTACACCCAGGAAGTGAAACTTCAGCTTAAAATCACAAGAAAAAAGGAAAGTATAATGAAATAATTTTATAAAGTTTACTGAAGCTACTATATAAGTTTAATGAATATGTTTTTATATATGTGATAGTTTTATCTTTTGATTTTTGTGTTTTATTTAACAGCCCATTTATATTCAAATATGCAAATATTCATTAATACTTGCTTCATCATTGTGATTAATGGTCTATTGAATTATTTATGAATATTGAGATTATTCTGCTGGTTTAATAGGGCAGGGTCTGATATTCTTCTGTGAAATCTCATTCTTTTTGCTTTTGTTGATGTTGGGCTTTGTTTTGTTTTGTTTTTGAGATAGGCTCTCATTGTGTAGCATTGGATGGATATCCTAAAATGCACTGTGTATACAAGGCTGGCCTTGACCTCCCAAATATCTATCTACCTATGCCCTATGAATGGCCAACTTATTGTTTTTTATGAATAAAAACCACTAAAAATTGTGTGGGGTGTGTGTTAGTGACTTCTGATCGTGATTTCTTGCTCTAGCACACTAATTTTCTCCCTTGAGTCAGAGTCTTAGCCTGGAGTCAGGCTGGTGGTCAGGAAGATGCTGAGATCTACCACCTATCTATCTATGCCTACATCTTTTATGCGGGTACTAGGGATTGAGGCTCATGCTACAAACAAAAATTCTCTTAACCCACAGAGTCATTGCCCCAGCCCCCAAACTACTTTCATTTCTGTATTGACTTATACTTAACATTTTTGTGTGTATAATTTATTTTTCTCTTTGATGGCTTTGGTATTTTCTTCTACTTGCCAACATGTCTTCAATTATGAATGATTTCCCATTTATTATTAGAATAACAAATGTTAACCTTCCCCTCTAATCAGATGATAGTTTTAAATGTGTACACATATACATTTAGGGGGTTCTTTTTAAATTTTTCAGCAGAATCTTTCTTTAATGTAGCTGGTGGCTATCCTGGAGCTTGCTATGTAGACTAGGGTAGACTCAACTCACATACATTTACTGGTCTCTTCCAAGGGCTGGGATTAAAGGTGGGTACCTCAGGCCCACCTATTTTGTGCCATGCTGACATGCAAGCTAACCATAGTACATGTATATGATGCTTTCTGGTTACTCTCACTCCCACCCTCTTTCTCACCTACCATTTCCAATCCCTCTGCCTCTTTACAAGTTCTTCTCATTCATGTTTGTGTGTTTTTCTTGGGACCTGCTGCCTTTAGGATTTTATTCATTGGAGCCTGTGATCCACAAATGAAAACAATGCCTGCAACTCCTCTAAAGACTCACCAGTAGACAATAATTTCAGCATAATGGGGTATGGTCCAATGTGTCCCACCCTAATCCATGCTGAATTGATATAGGCCCAGTTGTGTGTAGGCAGGCATAGAACAGTGAACCGTTCCTACTATGAGATCATGTTTGTAGTGTCTTTGTCATGCCCAGAGTATATCACTCTGCAGTTTTCCCTATATTCTATTACACTGTTTCTATACCCTCTCCTGTTGTAGTGCCAGGGAAAAGTTAGTGGTCCCCCAAAAAACAAACAGGAGCCGATCTGCTACAACTCACAGCAGGGTCTTTATTCTATTCAAGCTAGGTCAACCTCCACCCGCCCCCAATGCACCACCATCACGCAAGATGCTTTTGGTGGTGGGGGAGCCCCGAATGTCTATGGGGCAAGGCTTTATTAAGCAGCAAGCAGGGAGTACATGTGCAAGCATCTAATTGGAAAGCTACTGTGGCCTTTAATATAATTGGTTGATTCTCGGAGTCATAAAAACTTAATTTCTGCTCTCCTCTGCATTGGTGGTCATTAGGCAGGGAGTGGGCCTGTAACCTGGGGGTGCAGGTTTGTTGGAGGAATAACCTGGAGACGCAGGTCTTGTTGGCGATTAGCCTATAGTCTGGAGCTAAGCTCAGGTTTTGTTGGGGCGGGGGCAACTTAGAAACTAATGCTAGGTACCAGCTTGTTAGTTTACCTGAGTTCAAACTTAGGTCAGGTTCTCCAAAATGGAATCTGAACTTAAAAGATTTGGCATCTCACTGTGCCGTTCCCAGAGTCTTATCGGGGTAGTATAGGTTATCCCATTGATGAGTCCGCCACCAACTGTCAGTTACTCTCAGTGCTTAGAGGCATGAGTCTCTGTTGACTGCAGGCCACTGCAAACTTCTTGGGCTCAAGGGAAGCTTCTTGAGTTAAGACTAAATGTAGCATTTGTCTGTGGATATAAATAAATATTTAGAAGGTGAGTTAACCTACAGCTGTTTAGCTATTGTTCTATAAGTTACCCCCAGGACCCAAGACGTCTTCAGCCATAGGCCATGTTGTTTTGTTTTCATTTTGTTTTACTGGATTTACAGTGTCTGAAATGCATTCCCTTCTGTGAGAAAGGCCTTCATTCCAATAAAGAGTATTTGGATACCACAATGTAAGTTGTCACTGTTTCACCAGTGGGCATATCTTCATGGCAGGCTAGTATTGTAGTTCACCGAGTTCAAAACTAGGTAAGATCACTCTTGTCCCTTTGATGCCAGCAGCCTGCATAGCACCTTTAGCATATGGAAGATAGCTCTCAGAAAGTGTGCAACTGGCTTTCTCTATGCAGTGCATCTCCGGTGTGTGGTAGCATCAGCAACAAGATCTTACCAACCAGTTCTGCTGGGCAACCAAGAGCAATGGCAAGAGTCTGAACTCTGTGTGTGTGTGTGTGTGTGTGTGTGTGTGTGTGTGTGTGTGACAGAGAGAGAGAGAGGGAGGGGGGAGAGAGAGAGTCAATTACTATTTGGTAAGAAATATACCTAAGCACAAAACACAGCTAGAAAGTAACTCATTTAGATAATCTGAAAGAAAAATGAGATTAAAATGAACTTGTGTTTAACTGAGATTGAGAGGAGATGCTGGAACATCAACAGTAGGTCAACAAGAGTCTGTAGTCTTTGAGGGGCCCAGGGAATGCCTGACAACCAACTCCTACAGAGTTCCTGGTAATATCTTTTTTGTATGATAACCAACCTTTAGGAGCAGCATTACTTACCCATGTGAATCTCTAATATGTTCTGTAGTATTTCATCCATATCCATCCATCCATCCATCCATCTATCTATCTATCTATCTATCTATCTATCTATCTATCTATTTGGGTTTTAAAGATAGGGTTTCTCTGTGTAGTTCTGGCTATGCCGGAACTAACTAACTCTCTCTCTCTCTCTCTCTCTCTCTCTCTCTCTCTCTCTCTCTCTCTCTCTCTCT